CAATGGTCACAAACTGACAGAGCAGATTTAGGCTAGATATCAGGAAACACTTCTTCACGGTAAGGGTGGCCAGAATCTGGAATGGGCTCCCAAGGGAGGTGGTGCTCTCCCCTACCCTGGGGGTCTTTAAGAGAAGGCTGGATTGGCATCTGGCTGGGGTTGTCTGACCCCAGCGCTCTTTCCTGCCCAGGCAGGGGGGCGGGCTCGATGATTTGTTGAGGTCCCGTCCAACCCCAGCATCTATGAATCTATGAGTCTATATTACCAAAGCTTCTAGTTGCTTTTAACTGGAGGAGAAAATGAGCGGCACTCTCTTTGAGTCACCACCTGCCTTTCTGACAACACATCTGCCTGGGCTCCTGGTTCCACGCCTGTGGGTGAGACTCACACAGGACATTAATCTCTGAGTTCTGGGTCTTTGCGATGTATTTTTGTGATCGAAACCCACTTCCTGCCTTGCTGCTGCTCTGCAGGAAATCTTCCGCTCTTACACTTTGCGCCTTGCTAACTCGGGAGCTCTGCCTTTAGGTTTGCCCAACACCAGACCCAGGCACCCGGCTTCCTCATGAATGCCTGAAGCTGCAGCGTTAATTAGCCCTTTGCACTTCATATCCATGTTCATACCCTCCCCACCATGGATACAGCCCACTGCTCCCAGGAGACAGTGGCCAACACCTCCCTGCCCCAAACTCTTGCCTCTCCTTCAGGTCTCCCCCTGGTCATTATGATCAGTGAGGCAGGAGGGTCTCATGGCCCCCAGACACACACTGGGCAGGGTCTTCTCTGAGGAGCTGCTCAGAAGAATGGGAAGGGAAACTGAGGCACATGGGAGGGAAGGGTCTTCTTCAAGGCCACTCGCCAGGCCAGTGGTAGGGATGGGAGCAGGCCCCATAGTCCTAGCCTGGCACATAGGTAGGTCAGTGCTGGCACCTGCCTTTCCTAGGTACAAGCCCCTGCCTCCCTTTTCCTAAGAGCCCCTCCTTCTGCCCCATGTCCACCTCCTTTCTGTAGTGGGGGGCCCAAAACTGGACGTAGGACTCCAGGTGTGGCCTCACCAGTGCCAAGTAGAGGGGAAGAATCATTTCCCCTGATCTGCTGGCAATGCTCCTACTAATACAACCCCATGTGCTGTTATCCTTTTTTGCAAGAAAGGCACTGTTGGTTCATAAAATGTGCATTCATGATGTGCATTTCAACAGCATTATATTTATTTTTACTTTGATATTAAACTGCATAAGACAGCTCTAGGCCCCTAGCATTTTAGCAGAGATCCTAATTTCTTTTTAACTGGAGAAAAATATATGCTGTGTTCTATATGTGATGCTTCACCACAGCATCCGCCCCCCACTTTTAAAATCCTAGGACTACCCATGCTCCCAGGCCCTGGCTGTGAGCAAGAACCACATGCAAAGTGAATCTCTGAACTCTGCTTGCAGTGTTTCTGTAGAAACCCCCACAGGAAATCTTCCGTCCTCATCTTTCCTGTTTTGCAAACACTGAAGCTCTGCTCATACCTCTGCCCTAGGCATGGCCCAGCTGCCTGACTTTCTCACCAGCGAGGATGGAGCTGGACTGTTCTCAGTGGTGGCAGATAACTGAGCAAAGAGCAATGGGCTCAAGTTGCAGAAAGGGAAGTTTAGGTTAGATACAAGGAAAAAAACTTTCCGACTTGGACAGTAGTAAAGCAATGAAAGCGGTATCCATCCTTAGAGGTTTTTAAGACCTGGCCAGACAAAGCCTTGACTCTTGATCTAGTTGGGAATGATCCTGCTTTGAGCAGGAGGTTGGACTAAATGTGACCCCTTGAGGTCTCTTGCAACCCTCGTTTTCTATGATTCATATTAGCAAAGCTTCTAATTCCTTTTTAAATGGCAAAAAATATGTGCCAGGTTCTCTTTGTGATGATTGTCCCCCCCGCCCTTTCCAAAATCCTACATCTGCCCATGCTTCTGGTTCCTGTGCATGAGAACCACAACTGATGTGACTAGCTGAGCTCTGGGTCTCTGTGCAGTATTTCCATGAACAACCCCCACTTCCCGCCTTGCTGCCGCTCTGCAGGAAATCATCTGCTTTCTCACTTCCTGCACCACAAATGCAGCAGCTCTGCATTTAGCTCTGCCCAACGCAGACCCAGCCACCTGGCTTCCTCACACATGCCTGCAGCTGCAGCCCTAATCAGCCCTCTGCTCCTCAGCCCCTCTTCGCACCCTCCCCATCTGTGATCCAACCCACTGCTCCCAAGATCTGGTGGCCAAACCCCCCCAGCCTTCCCCTCCACTTGCCTCTCCTTGTGGTCTCCCCCTGTTTCTTATGATGAGTGAGCCAGAAGGGCTTTCTCGCCCCTAGACACGCACTGGGAGACGCGGTCTGCTCCGAGGAGCAGCTCAGAAGGAGAATGGGAAGGGAAACTGAGATATGGGGAAGGGAAGGGTCATGTCTAAGGTCACTCGGTAGATCGGTGGCAGGGCTGGGAGCAGGCGCCAAGTCCCTGGAGTCCCAGCCTGATGAACAGGCTGGCAGGTGCTGGCATCTCCCTTCCTGGGGGACAAGCCCCTGCCTCCCCCATCCTCAGAGCCCCTCCTGCCCCATGTCTACTTGGCCTCTCACAGGGCCCATCTCTGACTGCTCTGGGCTCTCCCTCCTGCCCCAGGTCCATGCTGCAGAACATGTCTCCCCCAGGAGGGGCATGTACCCCTTGGCCCGGCTGAGAAGAGAGGCTCATCCCCAAGGGACCCTGGGGGCACCAGGCCTGGGCTGGGGGTGACAGCAGCGTGGCCCTGGCAGCCGTGGGAGCTGGGCGAGGCGGCTTGAAATGCAGCTAAGGCTTCTGCTCTGCGATGGGGAAAGGGGGGTGATGAGTGCACAGCTGGACAGACAGACTGGCCCCCTGTCCTGTCCTAAGGACTCATGGGCTTTCGTCTCTCTCCGGCTCTGGCTGCCAGGGTGGGTATGAGGGAGAAGCTGCTTGCTCAATGCCTGTTGGTTGAGAGGTGGCGGGGACCCCCGTCCGGCCAGGTGGTTGAGTGAGAGGCATGTCCCAATGCCCATTGCCACCGGTTCGGTGGGCAGGGTTGGACTCGGTCTCCCTCACACTCAGCCCCTCTGTGCCAGGTCATTGGTGCCAGTCACCGCTGCCTGACAGGGGCTGGTGCAGCTCATGCCAAGGAGAGATCAGGGCCCACAGTCCCCCGTTGCAGGGTGGCAGCCAACAGTGCCCACTGGAGAGCAGGCTCAGTCCCACCAGTGTCCTCCCGGCCCCATGGCCTGTGCCTTGCCCCTCACACCCAGCCTGTGGCCATCGCCCACAGCCCAAGTGCCCGCTTCGGCCCCCCCAGGCCCAGGCCCAGGCCCAGGCCCTGCTGCCTTCGGTCCTGCAGCCCCCTGCCCCAGCCCGTGCACACGGGACCTGGGGTCTCATGCCAGCAGGTGCCAAAGTCCCCAGAGTGTCCACAGGCTCCCCACACTCATGCATACATGTACCATCACACACCCACACACCCAAACACACACACACAAACAGGATATGCACACACACACACACACACAGAAGTTCCCCCTCCTACACACGCACAAACACATATGCACACACCCTGGCACACACTCTCCCCACAAGCGTTCTTCCTAGCCACACACACACACACACACACACACACACACACACACACACACACATGGGCACCCCACACACATACACACAAAGGCTCCCCTTCCTACACACACACACGGACTCTGCCTTTTACACATGCAAACACACACATACACACAAAGACAAACACATGGGCTACACACGCATGCACACCACACACAGGCTTCCCCTTCCACACACACACACATTCACACACACAGCATCCTCCTTCTACATATACACATATGTGGGCTCCTCTTGCCCCAGAGGCTCCCCCTCCTACCCACACAAACATACAGGCTTGGCCCCCCACACACACATGGGTTCCCCCTCCTATACACACACAGACAGGCACACACATACACACTCACACACACATACCAGCTCCCCCACAGACTCCCCCTCTTATCCACATAGACGTGCACTCCACACACATACACACGCACACACAAGAACTCCCGCTCTTGCACACACATATACACATGGGCTCCATACACACACATGGGCTCCTTCTTCTACACACACACACACACACACTAAATCCCCCTCCCTGTACAGGTTCCCCTTCCCCCCACATGCACGCACATAGAAATTCCACCCCCCCACACACACACACACACAGACACACACACCTACATGCCCCATCCACACACATGCACAGGATCCCTCCACCCCACACACAGGCTTGCACTGGGCATCACATTCAAGCTTTCTGTCTTGGCCTCCTCAGCACCCTCCACTCCACAGGCCCTGTCTCTGTGCCAGCCTGGCCTGCCCTCGCCCCAGCTCCTGCTGGTCCATGGCACCACCCTGGACACCCATCTCCATGCCCTTTGCCCACTCCCCTCACCCTGAATGTGCAGCGCCCCCTCCCTACTGGTGTCACCCAGCTTCTTCCTCCCCACACCCTTAGAGAGAATTACAGACCCAGAACGGAAGCACCCAGTGGCCTTGAACAGAGCAATGCGCAGTCCCTCTGTGAGATCGTGGAGCTGTGCCCGGGCTGTAACACCAAGCTAATGCCAGCTGGTAGTCCCTGCAACACAAGAGCTATGTGGCAGGTGAAGGATATTTGGGTGGGGGCAGAGCCTGAGCTGCAGGGAAGTCTTGTCTGGTGAAGGGCTTGGCACATAGGACCCAGGATTCTGCAATGAAAAAGCTCATTCCCAGCTGGATTTGGGAAGGCAGGATGGTATCGTCCCAGCTAGATACTGCGTAGGTGCACAGGGGGTTAGTGCTCCGGTTCTCGATGAGAAATTGAAGGTGTTCACCAACTGGAAGATCGGGGGGCCGTGGAGTTTTATGATTCGTCTGATGTTACGCTGAGGCACCAGCACGTCAGCAAAGCCTGGTATAAACCCCCCCTCCCGCCGACGTCACAATGGAGTTCAGTCACCGAAGAGAAGAGGACCAAGCAGACAGAAAGGTAAGGAAGGGAGAGTGGGATCATTTCACAGCTCTTTTCGTCACTTAGGAGAAGAGGGACCCACAGAGGTGCCAGGCAAAGCTGGGCTGGGCCCCAAAAGACAGAGCTCATGGGTCTGCTTCGGTGCTGGGACTTGGGCGTTGCTGGATAAACTGACTCTGCTGCTCCGATCTGGGGAGGTGCTGGGGTGGATTCTGGGCTGGATGAATCCATGTGTTTGATCTCCGGTGGCAGGGGTGGGCTGCATTTACACTGGGCTCCAACTGGTCTGTTTTGGAGCAGGACGGCAGTCAGGACAGCTGCCAGGCAGTCGGCATTCATGATGACAGATCCCAGGGGCTAGATCCTCGTCTCCATTATGATGCAGCAGGCACACCCGAGTCAAGAGGGGGCTGCTCCAGGTTTATACTGAAGTATCCCGGATTAGAACCGGGTGTGTGATGCCACTGGATCACTCGGGATTTACCCTGAAGGAACCGAGGTCCGAGCGTGGATTCCCCTGGGTTTTTTCAAGGGGGAAGGTGCGGGGGGGCTCCACTGATTCACGTCAGCTGAAGAGCTGGCTTCAGGGGTTGGCTTTCAGAGGCAAGGGACAGGCATAACCGCCACAAAAATCACACCTCTGCTCTGCATTCGCCAGTTTTCCAATCCTTGGTAGGGGAAATTTGAATTCTCAAACACAGGAAGGGCACAAAAGGATTGTAATGAGTTAACAGGCTTTGCAAGGCTTTTGTGCAGGCAGAGTTGCCCTTCCAGGCCCCACTGTGGGATACGTGGCGTGAAAACGAGCGAGCGAAGGAACCCCCACGTTCTCTGTCTTGTTCACGGCACTGACAGACCTCTCCCTTCTGCAGGCTGAACATCCCCTGCCTCTGGCCCGGCTGCCATGGCTCCCGCAACCTGCAGACTGAGAGAGGAGTGCCCAGAATGCGCCATCGCGGCCGGGGCGTGCTCTCTGGTGTCTTTTGCTGAATGCCTGCAATGTGACTCAATGGGAATGGGAATGGGTCAGGACAAGCAAAGGCACATCGTCTGTGCCTCCAATAAGCTGGAGGCTGCAGAGAAGAAGTCCAAAGAGCACCTGGATACCTTGAAGGAGCAGAAAAAGGAGCTACTGCTCGAGAGGAAAAGGCTGGAGGATGAAGAGAAGGAGAAGGAAATGCACATTGGTCAGTTGAACATCACCTTGGCATCGGCCAAGAAGATGATGGAAAAAGCCCAGAGCATGCTTGGCACGGCTGAGTGGCACCTGCACGAGGTGAGGGAGCAGCTGAAGAAGGTGAAGAAGAAGGAGAAGTGTGAGAAAGTCCAAAGGAACTTCATCCTGGTGGTCTTGTTTGCTTACACTGTCATTGGTAGGTACCGAGCACAGCTGGGCTGTGGCCTTCCCATGGGGTGGTGGTGGGTCACCAGGCTGTTCCCCCATGTCTGGTAGCACGGGGGGGTTTTCAACCTTCCTTAACAAGTGTACCCCTCCTGTCTCAAAGTTTCAGCTCATGTACCCCTTTTTATTAAAATTACTTGGGGGGCCTGAGCACACACACGCATGCACGCATGCACCCCCTTGCCCCACCAGCCAGTAAGTCTGTGGGGGAGGGGAAAGGGCCATGGGGGGCAGAAGAGGTCCCCGTGGTGAGGGCATAGACAGGGGCAGAGATGAGGTAAATGGGGCCAGGTTGTGGGACAACTGGAGCCCGTGCAGCTTGTCCAGGGTCTTGGGGGTGGGGGGGAAGGAGGGGCTCCTGCCATTGCACACACCCCAGCAGAGGCCTGGGGGGCACATGCCTGCCCTGATCAGTGTGTGGGGCAAAGGCAGCTGCTGCTGTGCGCTGGGTGCTGCACGCACTGCTGCAGCTGCCACGGGAGTGGTGTAATGCCCTGTGCGTCCCACTGCCAGGTAGGCAGGGGGTGCAGCGCAGCTCAGAGGTGTGAGGCACATGGCATCGCACCACTCTCGGGGCAGCTGCGGTCGCCTCTGCACTGCGCACAGATCGGGGGGGCAGGCCTCTGCCAAGGTGTACAGCAGTGGGAGCCCCCCACCCCCCTACATTTTTAAATACCCCTAGGGGTATGCATACCCCCCGTTGACAACCCCTGTGGTAGCACGTTGCTTGTGACACTGGCCTGTAGGTGCGTGTAGCTTGATCACTGGAACTATCGCACCAAGGGCGGTAGCCGGAGCTGCTGCCGAGTGAGGCACCGTAGAGGGCTCAGTGGTCAGGCACCATAGAGGACATGCAACACTTACCCACTAGTGAATACAGGAATGTTGTGGGCTATCACAGATAGTTTCCAGACCCGAGAGGGTCCCTGCCAGGGGTTGAGACCTAGGAGGAAGGTGTTAATACTCAAAATTAAAGTAAGTATCATCCCTGACTCTGCTTTTGGGAATGGGCTTGTCCAGAGGGGGCTGAATTCCTCAGGACTTCCCCTCATAGCTCTTTTGAAGCTCTGTCAGATCAATAGGTTGGCACTTCTGGATAGGTTTGGGGCTGGCTATCATCAGAGGGGCCCCTGGGAATCATCTGTCTGCCCCACACGTGTCTGCTGCACCCAGCTCTCTGCCTCTAGCAGCGACTCTGCTCTTTCTTTTCCTACTGGCACTAAATCTCAGGTTGGATATTTCTGGGGGAAATCTCTCCAGCTGCCACCCTTTCATTTACAACCCCTGCAAAGTTGCCCAGGGCTGAGATGGAGTTGCCCTCAGCCTATGTGAAGAGGGGCAGCTGGAGAGATGGAGGAGGGGGGAATTGTGATGGAGGTTTGGGGGGAGACAGCCTCCAGGGTGGGTACTGAACCATGGGACACCTCTAGAGTTGTGAGCAACTCCTGCATGATGGGAAAGACGGCTTCTGCTGGCCACACCAGGTCTGACTATGTCCTAAATTACCATATTTACTTGCATACTACATGAAACTTCCCCCCTCCAAAATTAGCCTTTTCTATTCAGGCAGTCCTGAGGGATTGAATTGACTTCATGGCCCATTAGAACCTGCTTGTTTCCTGCTAATTGCTCTTCATTCATCAGGTCATAATAACTCTTTCTTTTTTAATGGTCTTGATGTTCCACGAATCTAGCTACCCTTTCTTCAGCTTTTTTGTTGCATAAGTTGCAATGTAGCTGCTCCTGGTCTCCCTTCTCCTATTTCATAGCTCTGCAGACTGTTTTTAGCTCTTTTCAACATCAAGGTCCACCCATGGACTCCAGTCTTCAGCAGCAGCTAGCGTTTCAGCTTTTGGCAAAGCAGCCAAGAGCTGCTGACAAATTCAGCCATGAAAGAGTTAAAAGTGCAGCTTTGGCCTAAACCAGAAAGGGAGTAGAGTGATTAGGCTTTGCCCCTGCTGTGTGCAACTCTTTCTTTCTCCACAACTCAAACACAAATCTTTATTTTGCCTTACCAAAAAAAAAATGTTTCTCATTTGTGGGTGTGAGAAAACATGGGAATATACTGAAATGACAGTTTTGGTAAAAAGACATTTCCACAAAAAAAAAAATCAGCTTTTCCTAAGAAAAAGTTAATATTTATAACTAGCGTATATAAGAAAAATATAAAAAGATTTTGAACTGTATTTTGATCAAGTTTGTGAGCCTGAAATACTCTCTGGGGCCTTGAACTTTGAGTCTTCTCTATGCTAGACTGCTAAAACAAAGAACACCTCCTTTGGGGCCATACCTGCTTCATTTCTTGGTAAGGGGGAGTGTGTACCCCAGATGCATCCTTGGAGTTGTAGTCTGGCTAGGGAGCCTGCCTCATGGGGAAGAAGGATACTACAAGACAACTGAGCTACAGGCATAGGTGGATCTAGGATTTTTAAAGTGGGGTGAAGATGGTGCGGTGCATCATCACATACAGAAACATGACACATTCTTCTCCAGCTAAAGGGAAACTAGAAGCTTGCCTAATATGCTAGGGGCCTAGAGTTATATTATACAGTTTAAGATTAAAGCCAAAATATATATAACTCTATTGGAACATGCTCTGATTTGCTAGATTATATATTACGTTTAAAAGCATACGGTTGGAAAGGGATTCAGAAGTGCATCAAAGCAGGATCTTCCCTGATTAAACCATCCCATGTGTTTATCTAACCTGCTCTTAAACTCCCCAACTAGCCAGAAATAGTCAGTAGAGAGTGTTTCATCCTCCTAGTTAAACGTGCATGTCTTATTCAGATTTGGAAAATACAATCTTGTGCTTCTTAACAGTGCCTCCAATACTTTACCATTAGTCATTTTTACACCTCAGTTAGTCTAACCACACTTGAGTTGAGCTTTTAAGCTAGATCTTAAAACAGCCTGCAGGGCTGTCAAATAGAAGAGAGACATTCACAGGGTTGGCTGACAAACAGCAACAGTGCAGAAGAAAGGATAGTTTGACAAGTGGAACATCAAGACCATTTAAAAGGCGAGTGTCATTCACACGTGTGGAGTGAAGAGAAATTAGAAGGAATCAGGTATGTTATATGAGTCATGAAGTCAATTGATTCCCTCAGTGCTCTCTCAATAGAAACGCTACTGCCACTGTCTCTCCCAGGCAGCTGGTTTTGACGGTCCGGGTAGAGCAGGGATCAAAGCAGGTACAACTGCACCACTCAACTGCTCCTCAATCCAGCACTGGTTGCCTGTCCCAGCAATCTCCCCTCTCTTGGCCCTACTCCCCCACCCCAAATGTCTCCAGACACCAGGTTGGGTGTTTTATAAGACATTAGTCAATTAAGTAAAATCCTGTTTCTTGTTTCGATATAGTTTCCATAGAATACATTCGAGATGCCCTCAAACTGAGCCGGGATAACCAGGTTGCCATCTTGCTGAGTGTCCTGGCCGCGAGTTTTCAGGCATCTCTGTACGCAACCCAGAAAGCGGTGCAGGAGCTGAAGGTATCCATCCGCCAATTAGAAGACAAGGTCTCAGAATTCAAACAGGAAGTTGATGCCTTTGAGAAACAGAAGAAAGAAATAAGAAATGACCACAGAGACCAGCAGAGGATCAGCGAAGAGATGGACCGGGAAAGAGAGAAGTTTTCAGAAGTGAACAAGAAAGAGGAAGTGGTGAAAGAATACCACAGCCTGCTGAGTTTGCTTGTTCAGATGGTCAATAGCATCCAGAACGACTCCAACCACGACGATATCTGGGATACTTTAAACGAGATTTCGCAGTCCATGATGCAGCTGGGAAAGGAAGGAGCCATGTACTTTGGGTGCTCTGCTGGAGAAGAAAAAACCAAGCAGGTGAGACGACTAAAAGGCATTGTGGACAAGTTTTTGTAGGTGATAAGCCATAGGACCAGGACTTCAAACCCCAGGGAAAGCAACACAAACATTTGAACAACAGCATGATTCCCAGAAGTCAACATTGGAAGAAAAGGATGAGGTGAAAGGCAAACAATTTTATCACAAAAGTATTAGGCCATGATATGGGGGTTCCTGGCCAGCCCCCACAGACCTGGGGCCTCTAGTTTGCCACTTCCTCATCTGACCCTAGGGTAGTCCTAGGTGGTCAGAACCCAATATCTTGGCCTAGCTCCCTGCCCACTCCCTGCAACTGGTGTGGCCAGCCAGGAACAGCTTACACTTTCCCCCTTCCTATAAAAACCCCTGATCCAGAAGAGGAAGTGTTTGGGCAACAAGGTTCAATCTTGTGTTCAGGCTGTCTCACTTTTGAGTTGTGCTTCGAGTGGTTCTTTGATGGATTCTCCAGATACCCAACATGGTAACCCCCAGACAAAAGAGGATTCATGGGGCACGTGCAGGGATAGGGTGGGGAGTAAGGATTAGGGAGACATGGACACAGCACCTGACATGCGTGGCTTCTCCTCTCAGTTCCCTCTCCTCCCCCCATGACTCCTGTGCTGCCTGATCCAATATCATATTAGGCCATGATATTGAACCTGGGGGCTTTAGTCTGCCACTTCCTCGTCTGACCCCAGAAGGTGAGGTGATCAGTGGCAGAAGGGTGAGTGAAGGCTGATACAGCCCTGGTTGCCTTCTGGCTTCTTTGCTGGTCACCACTGTGGTGGCCCCAGCCCCTCAGTTGCTGTCCCGCATACCCCATGCTGAAGCTATAGCTGCTGCTGCTGCATGCCCCAGGCTGTATTGGGTCTGCAAGGAGTCCCACAGTCTAGATCCAGCCTGGGGTGCAAGATGAGTGCAACACCTCTAGCTCAAAGGTGTTCAGGTTGCTCGGGTTGTTGCGGTCACGTTTCTATTGCACAAGCTTCTGCACATTTTCTCTCAAGCAACCATGGCAGATATTCAGTCTTCACCTGTGTTATGTTTCCATGTTATCCTGACAGCCTAGCTAATAAACAGATTTTGCACACTGAACCTGGCTGCCTTGTAACTGTAACGGATGGCAAGGAGAGAGCCTTCCTGCTTGTTGAACCCCCTGTAGACTATAATGTTTAGCTCCTGGAGCTACTGAGGTACTTCTAGCAGAGCTATGCCAACATGCCTGCTACGAAGTTGTCCCGAGGGGGTTAACAGGTGGTGCAGTTCTACCAGGCCCATGAGCAATTGGTGGTGGAAGAAGAAACCCCCATGTCTGAGCTCTGGTAACCACAGGCACACACGGCCTCTGGGACGAGGTGCTGGGAGCATTAGCTGTGGTGCTTAGGGCTCCATGCCTGGTCACCACCAGAGCCCTTGGCTCTTGCTCTAAGCCTCTCTCCAGGCCTTGGTCTGTCTTGGTTTCTTCATCTCAGCTTTAGCTCTGTCTGTGGACCTTGCCCCGTGTTCCTTACCTGGCATCTTGG